TTATAATATATATATATATATATATATATGTATATATATATGTATATATATATATTTATAAAAACGTCGTCTAAATTTTCCAAAATATTTTTTTATTTATTGTATGTTGCTACATAATATAGATTACATAAACACCACACAAAAGCTCTAATATTACGGTTTCAATCAAGAACCTGGAAGATAAAATCAGTAATTCATGTTTTTACAACATTAGCCCATGTCCAAACTGTCGTGAGTTCAATATCCCCCGGCATTAGACTCCTGAGTATTAAATAATGGAACACAAACGTTAATTTGTCGACTTACAAGTTTGCATAGCAAATCAATACCTCTGGGGTTACTGAATTGGAGATTGATTAGTCTTTGATTAAGATCAAAATTAAGATCTGTGGATGAATGAATCAGATTTACCCTGTAAAATGGGCCGTGACGTGTATGTGGCTGAATTCGTTTCATTGGCCACAGACTGTGGCACATAAAATTTTTGCCTTAAATTTGCTTGGTTATCACCTAATAGGCTTGTTGAAATTGGCAAGTGGTATTAGAAATATATAACAACATTGAATATTGTATTTATGAAACTTTATTTACTTAATGAATCTTTATTTTGTTACTATATGTTAGATTAAACAGAAATCCATGAGTCTTACTTGAATAAACAGTCAGAAAAATTAAATTTACTTGTGTTAAACTGTAGTACTCAATTATAAAAATCACTATAGTATAATGCATGTTACTTAAGACTAGCAATGATGATGTCACCTTCAGAGTCAACGTATATATATATATATATATATATGTTGCCGGCAAAGTATGAAATAAACGTCGTGATGCGGTTATTACGTAAATGATGTGCATGTTACTGTGAATGCCTGAAATCGGCGGTTGTTGACTTTCACCGGTGAATGTTGAGAATCACATGTAGTCGCTTTGGTGAATGCCCAAAATATTTATTGCATCCGATTTGATATTAATTTATTCGTAGATATAATTACATTCATTCGATATTTTAATAATTACTGACAATAGATTAGAAGAAACTTCAGTGTTTGGAATATCGGGCAAATATATACCGGGCAATGATACCTGACCTTCAAAAAATATCAGTGTAGGGTATATCGGGCAAATGTATATCGGGCAATGATACTTGACCTTAAAAAAACATCAGTGCAGGGTATACCGGGCAAATGCATACCAGGCTGTGGCACTGAACCTTAAAAAAAACATCAGTGTAGGGTAGTGTTTCCCAAAGTGTGGAACGCGTACCCCCAGGGTTACGGGAACAGTTTAGCGGGGGTACGCGTTCTCATGCGAAATATTTTGCAACAAACGAAAATTTCAATTTTTTTTATTCAAAAACAAAGCTAGTCATGAAAATTTACTATTACGTATTTTCCTATTGGCTATTTTTTGCAGAGTTACCAGTTAATAATAATTAGTGGTGTCAACAGCCAATTGTGATTTTTAACTTTTGAGCAAATTTTTTTATCACAGCAAAAACAATATCATCCTTCTCACGAATGCAAATAAATTTATTAATAAAACCTTGCATCAAAAAAGAAAAATAAATATATTTTAAAAAAAATACAATCATTTCTTTATTAGTGGTACATAGCGTTGCGAAAAATTTGGAAAGGGTACACAAAAGTCATAAGTTTGGGAAACAATGGTGTAGGGTATACCAGGCAAATGTATACCAGCTGCCCTTGACCTTAAAAAAATCAGTGTAATGTATACCAGGCAAATATATACCGGGTAGTGGCCCTTGACCTTAAAAAACCATCAGTGTAGGGTATACCGGGCAAATGTATACCGGGCAACGGCATTTGACCTTAAAAACCATTGCCCGGTATATATTTGCCCGATACTCCAAACACTGATGATTTCTAATCCATCGTCAGTAAGTATTAAAATATCGAATGAATGTAATTATGTCCACGAATAAATTAATATAAAATCGGATGCAATAAATATTTCGGACTTTCACCAAAGCGACTATGTGATTGTCAATATTCACCGGTGAAAGTAAACAACCACCGATTTCGGTCATTCGCAGTAACATGCACATCATTTACATAATAGCCTCATTAGGACGGTTATTTCATACTTAGCTTTCGAATAAAATTTGTTTTAACTATAATTTCTATTTCGTTAGATGGGCTAGCAAACATTTTTAGTAAGTTTACGTAATACTTCTTCAATGGGTTATCGTTCGCTGACAAAACTTAAAATATAACATTTTTAAAAAGTTAGCTAAATTTGTTTTAACCATATCTTTTAACTGTGGCTAATTAAACGTTTAGGTAGGCTAAAATGTTCTTACCATATTTACTAATAAACTAATGCTTTTTGTAAAAAAAATTAAAAATAGCTTACATTTAAAAAAAATTCATCTAAAAACTGGTTTTGAAGGGTAATATTAGTCTGCAACTTGCTTCATCACTGGCAGACTGCATACGACACGCGGAAACCACCAACCCCATCACATGACTCGTTGACCAGATTCTGGCTAGAACAGCCGGGAAAAGATAGTGCTGTACAGATATTTTTCACTTTTTTTATGATAAGGAAGAAGCATAAAAATTAATTAATTTTTAAGTGTTCAAAAGTTTTTTTTTAATTTTTGAAAATGTTGTAAACCACTTACTCATTATTACTGCAAAAAGTCATCGCTGGCTGTATTATTTCAGGAGGAGTGCTCTCTTTAACGCTAGTAACTGAGGGGTAGGTCCAAAAGTACTCTAAGAAAATTTCTGTTTGGTATAGAAATCCAAACGCACAAAACAAAAATACTAATATCTTAAGAATTCTACTTTTCCAAGTTTTGCTGCCAGCAATCTGAAGTAATATTGTTCTCGATGAATTTCCAAATACAGACTTTGCGTACTTTCGAAAGGAACCATCTCTTGTGTTTCTTGAAAAAGCTTTGCCGCATTTGTGATTAGTTTGAATATCTTGTGCCTGAAAGCAAATTTTTTTTTAAAAATGACAACTATTTTTACTGTAAATACACAATTGGGCGACCTTTGTGCTAAAATACAAACTAAGGTAGACAACGTTAAAGAGCACAAAAATATTATTAAAAGCAGACAGCTGTTTCGGATGCTCAAAGGGCAACCTTCATCAGTGCAACAGAAAACAATAAGAGAACAGAGTAAATGTATATTGAAAGATGACGTCACAAGAGGGTTTAGAGCAACGGCCAATAGGAGGGAAGGGTGAAAGGATGACGACGAATAGGAAGCAAGGAANAAAAATTCCCTTGAGTTTGTTAAAGAAGTTAAAAATCTAAAACCTAATGGTTATTTGATGGCCTCATTTGATGTAAAATCACTGTTCACTAATGTTCCTGTTGAGGGGGCTTTGGAATGCCTAAAACTTAGACTTTCGGAATATCATTTTTCCCAATATGAGGTCACTGAATATGTTAACCTTACCCGTGTGTGTTTACAACAAAATACTTTTGCGTTTGACAACAAATTTTACCGTATGACCAATGGTCTTGCCATGGGAAATCCTTTGAGCCCTATACTTAGTGACTTCTATATGCATTATTTTGAGAGTAAACTATTCAAAATCTTAACTTTCCCCTTTTATAAAAGATACGTTGATGACAGTTTTGCTTTGTTAGAGGAAAATAATTGTAGTTTAGATCAAATCCTTAATGTTATGAACAGCATTGATTCTTGCATTCAGTTCACCTTTGAATTAGAGTCTGATCAAAAACTTCCTTTCTTAGATGTGCTTGTGACTCGGAATGATAATTCATTCCATACTACTGTCTTTCGTAAACCTTTTGCTGTTTCTCTTCCCCCTCATTACAGATCCGCCCACCCTCCCAACCAAAAACTNGGAGATAGAAACCACTGAACAGATGGAAATAGGAGCCACCGCTGAAGCCCCGGCTACAGTTGAGACACCTACTACAAATCCTGATCAGACGGAAAACCCGCGGCCCACCGGCGGGAAAATTAAAGTTCTCTTCCGGGGACTTGATACAGATACCGAGATTTCCAATCTCGAGAAAGAACTTTCTACTATTGGATACCAGCCAATAAAAATTGAACAACTGAAGAAGAGGCGTGGCCTTGAATACAAGCTCCTCCCCCTCTTCCTGACCATCCTCCCAGATGATCCCAAGCATAGGGAAATTTTCCACACGGACAGACTGCTAGGCACACCCGTGCGAGCTGAAAGATTTCGCGGCGGACGTCGCGAGATTCAGTGCTACAAATGTCAAGGCTTCGGCCACACACAGAAAGACTGCACCGGACAAGTAGCGTGCATGAAATGTGCAGGAGCACATTGGACATATCTTTGCAGTAAACCAATCAGCGAGCCTCCAACCTGCTTCAACTGCCATGGTGATCACCCGGCCTGTTTTTCAGGCTGCGGTGCCAGGAAAAGGAGGAAAACACCACCAAAGAACAGGCAACACAGGAGTGCTGCCGACTCTGCCTCTAGATTTCTTCGAATCGTCAAGGAGTTACAAGAACTATTGAAGGACTCTGAATTAGTCAACCTGATACAATCCCTACTCCCATCAACCAAGGCCTAGCGTGGAGAATCTACATGATGATAATCACAGATTTTCTGTGGTTCACCCCATATCATCACGTCACTTAGTCATCGCCGCCTTAGAGCAAATTCTAATCCGACGAAGGAGTGAGATGCCCGCTTGCGCGGGCAGGTACTCCGCATCACTTCATATCAAGTCATTGTTTTCTGTTGCACTGATGAAGGTTGCCCTTTGAGCATCCGAAACAGCTGTCTGCTTTTAATAATATTTTTGTGCTCTTTAACGTTGTCTACCTTAGTTTGTATTTTTACTGTAGCTTGTAAAATTGATAACTATTTTTACTATTGCTTTTTCATTATTGCATTCGTCCCGCAGTGAACTGATCGTTAAGACACGGTTCCCAGCAGATCACCGAAGTCAAGCATCACTGGCTGCGGTCAGTGTGCGGGTGGGTGACCACTTGGATCAGTCTGCGTAGGGACCGAGGTTGTGCGGTATGGGTCCTCGTTAAACTGTTCTACCGTAAAGTGCTCGACTTCGCGTGCAGGTCATCGGGCTACCGAAGGGGGGGGGTGCCATCCCCTCTGCTGAGGATCAAAATTGTGATGGCAGGGATGTTTCCCAACAGCCTATTGTACAGCTCTAGTGCGACGTAAATGAACAAAACAAATAAAATCATTATTGCATTCAGTTTGAAAAAAAAAACTACAATAATAATGAAACAAGGATATCTTACTTAAACATACAATTTTTTATAAGAATTTAATAAAAGATGCATTATGAAAATTCGCAAGTCTGTTGTCTGAACTTCATGACAAAATTTCTGGAAGACCCATTTCTCTTTCTCCTCCTTTAACATGTCAAGAGTTGCCATGGTAGCCAGGAGTACTCATAAATCTTTATTCCATATAGAATACCATTGGTAGGGTGTGGAATGCAGATTATGTAGCCCGTTAATTTAACCTTTCTTACAGTGAGGAAAACCTAAAAGTCACTGCCTTGAAAATTTATTAAAAACAGATGTAAAATCTCCCCAGACATGTGCAGGGTGAAATTTATACAAAAGGGGGACCAACGTCATTTTAATATAAGCATTAGGTTTCTTCACGCCTATACAACTGGAAGGCCGGAAGCTTTTTTTTACCAAATAACGTATATTTTTGCCAGATGCTGACTATATAAATTCTCATAATTGTAATTGTATTTCAAAATTGCCATTAATGGTTTTGTGTAGTAATAACTAGGCCATTAAAGCTCCCGTGCTTTAACGTATCAGGGCATTTTATTTGTATTTTCTGACAGGAGGGTAAATTTTATTAATCGATATTGCTGCAAAACGATTGTCATTTATCGTCAGATTTGGTTTTAACCTGATTGTTTGTTCACCAAAAAAAAACTTTAAATCAGATCAGTCCGATGGTCATCCCGATTCCTGTGTTTATTGATCATTTACTTTGTGGGAAGTTTTTTGTAGGACATTATTTTAGACATACCAGAAAAACCGATTGAGAACTTTTTTTGTTCGATTTAACAATGCAAACGAAGCGTATCGTCAAATAGAGGTATTTTAAAGATATTGGTTACTTCTAAGGTTTTTCTAATAGCAGCATGAAACACAAACAGCAGTAACTAAAAGAGTTTTTATGTCAAGGCATGAAATTTCTGTTCGAAAGCTCGATATTGGCGACCAAACTTTATTGCTTGCGGATTAGTTTTGTTTTATAAAATATTGCGTTTCAAATCAAAATACCAAATTTTTTCCTAGAGTTGTGAGTTTTTAGTTGAAATTTTTTTTTAATGAAGAGCAATAGTCTTAGATCTTAAGATAAAGACTAAGTGACTAGCCCTGACGCAAAGGTGTGAATCAGAGAAAAACTGCAATCTATGACAACTGATAAGTTAACAGCTTTGTATCTTCTTGACTTCTTGGGTTGGTCTTCCAAAGAAAAATTCTAGAATTTGGGCTGGAGGAAAAAATAATTCATGTATTTAAACCCAAATCTCTTGAATCAGCAAATGAATGTGGTATTATAATTAACATTTCCTCACATATAACTTCTGACTGAGTTAGTACAATTGCCAAGTTGGCAAAGTTGTAATTTCGTTTACGGAATTTTTTTATTTGTTTATTTATTGAAACTTTCATGTAAGGAAGAGCAGTGAAACTATATTAGAATAGCATTACAAACTCTCCTTTAAACTAAGAAATCAGTTTTCGATCATCAACTGATAGAGAACATATTTGAAGAAAGAAATACCTTTCAAAGTTTAGTAAAATGCCTACCATCATTAAGTATGTTTACTGATAGTTTTTTACGCTGTTTTTGTCACAATCTTAAGCACTTACTATAACGATGGGACCAAAAAAGAAGAATGCTTCCAATTTAGTATAACTGCTGTTTGTTAGAGTTTGTTACTTTTAATGTAATCATTCAATTAAAGAAGCGTCAGCATTATTAGCAAGTTATTATTTCATTACTCAATCAGTATAGCTTCTATACCATACATTTCTATATACAACAACAACCCCCTAAAACCTTTTCAAGGCCGTAGATTCCTCCGATGTTCATATCTTGCATGTTCATAATTGCAAAGTATCGATGTTCATAATTGCAAAGTATAATACAACTAAAACATGCAATTTAAAACAGGTATAAAATTATAATAGTTGTTTTTAAAAAAAATATTGTTAATAATAACAATTCTTATTTTTAATACTTTTTTCAAAAACTATTAATTCTACGCCCAATAATTTTGTGTTTACCAAACGTCCGAAGATTATGTATCTATCAGTTTTTAAAATACAGTATTTCTTTTAATACGGTACAGTAATCTTTAGAGTTATGCTTAAATTTAAGCAATACAGAATTATTACCGTGCATACAAGACTTTATAACTTAAGACGTAAAAAATACAGAAAATACAATACCATGCATACAAGACTATAAGTAATTTAAGATGTAAAAAAGATAACATTAAATAAAAAACTTTTTTGAAACTATTTTAAATACTGATAACAGCAATTTACGTGTTTTACCTCATTCCGGAAACCACCAATTCTGCGTCTTGAAACTCTTTGATTTCGTCTGAACCAAGATTGCGAATAATTAGTACTCATCAGTCTCTGAAATAAAATAAGTCTTTTTTTTAAGAGACTTTGAAACTTCACCCTGAGCTCTCGACATTCACCGACTCCCTTGAATATGTATTTATAATTTTTTTTTCTCGAATGGAAGATTTTTTTCCACAAAATAAATATCATGCTGTTAACAAATGGAAGAGAAATTTACCAATCTTAAGACAATTGGCAAGTACTCGGATTTGAAAAATAATCATCAGTAATTAAAAAATAGTAATCTAAGAAATAAAAAATGTGTGATTCAGTAAGAAGTAATTTTAGTCGTTAACCTGACTTATAAATGTTAAAATTATAACATTAAAACAATTTATCCCCCTCTGTATTTCTTTTTTTTCTGTTTCTTTCTATCAGCAATAATACAAACATGGACTTTTGAAATAAAGATTCCGAGAGAGAATAAAGTAAGTTTTCTGCAACAGTAGAAAAGCAGTCTATATTTTTAGAGCAAAATAACTATATCTAATAATATTTTGTAGTTTTTGACTTAATATTAAGCACGAGCTTACGAGCTGAAGATCTCTCGAGACATAAAATTTTCTTCAACAATGAATAAATAATAATTTTAAAAGCAAAAAAATCCATAAAAGAAATTCCAGAAAAAAGAACATAAAACTGCACTAACATTTGAACAAGTGAAAGGTAATTGCAGATTTGTAGGCTTTGATGTTCAATTCCTTAAAAAAAAAAAAAAAGAAAGAAAAAGATGGATATAATCTTCAAATCATAAATGTTTTAATTTTCCATGGAAGAAAAACAGAGAAGAATTCTTAAATACTTCGACCACGAGTGAGTGATAAAACTACCAGGACTGCAGCTCATTACACATTTAAAATTGACATTTTGTTTTTGATTTTTAAAAAAATTAAAAAATGTATATCGAATGAGCCAAATTGAATAATAGTTTTCAAATGTATTGATTTGAGTTCAAAATGTCTTTCTTAGTATAAATTTATTCTTCATTACACATTAGTTCTTTAATTAATATATCCCAATAATGATTCTATAAGATAAGGTTGAAAGAGAAGGAATTTAGTTTAAATGAAATATAATTAAGAAGCTACATCATATTTTCAAATAAATCTATTAATAAGCAATAATAAACAAATATTTTAAAGCAAAGCCTTCGATTTTTTTTATATGTAATTTGTTGCCACCTTATTTACATAAATGTTAAACTTCTCTGCACTGTGATAAAATTAAACTTATGCGAACCTTACATTCGCCCCCGCTCTATGCTAAATGTAGAAATTTACATGGTAGCGTAAACATAAAAGGTTCTACAACAGATATTGTCCAAGTCTTTCAGGTAAGCGTCAATTACGTCAAAGTATCAATTGTATCAAAGGGGATCGATTTGATGTTAGAATGATTTTCAGTTGATTTTAGAATAAATTGAAATGTTGAAAGAGACGTAATTACAGGAATAGGTAAGCAGAGCCTCTAAGTGTATTAAAATTAAATTTTTTTTTGTAAAGAACATAATTTTTTTCTCAATTAATACCACAGAAACAAATAAGTTGATCATGTCACTACCTTTTAAAATTCAAATAAGTGACATATCCTTTGAAATACAATTACATCAGAAAAGAAAAAAAAGAAAAAAATAAAAAAATTTTTTTGTATATATTGTTCAGTAAACGTTTTATATTTCGTTATTGCATTTTTTAATTAAATTTTAGGTTCTTTCCGCGAAAGTGTTCCATAAAATCTCTTTACTGATGAGAAAAATTAAGTAGAGATGTGGAATCGTTGTAATAAAGAACTTAAAATTATTGTGTCACTCAACTCTGAAATTCAAAATTGTGTAAAACATTAAATGCTTTTAATTATTTGCTTCAAATATAATTTCCGAGTTTCATAAAAATATATATAAATCAAATCGCGCTCATAAGTTGATACTAAACCGATATGTTGGATATTTTCATAACTTCATTTTTTAAAGAACACAAGCCCTCGTTCAAAACTGGCAATGTAATGAGTTTTAATAAGGAACTAAAATTACCAAGTATTTTGAAAGGAACAACGAAATCAACTGTGGCGTTGCACGAACGAGCATTGAATAAATACCGAACGTGCTTCCCATTTAATATGCTTCAAAGCGCCGTAATACGTAACTAAAAGCGCTGTAGTTAGATGTAAAAGTTTCAAAATCAACTTTTAAAGTCATTTTTCGGAATAATACATTTTTACTTTAGCGGTAAGGTTTTCCAAACGAAATCGATATCCCTACACACCGTCAGGACCGTGTTACGTCATCACGTGATTCTTTCTTCATGCCCAATGGTATGCTACATAAAACCATTCTATATGATACCAGTCGCATAAAATCAAACAGGCGTGATCTCAATTTCATGTTTTTTTTTTATTTTATGTGATAACTGGCGTTAAATATCCGGCGCAATTCTGAGTTTACGACTGTCAATTTTCAGTTCTATAGTCTGGCGATTTTGAATCCAACACAGAAGACAAAGTATTCCTAGGTTAAGCATTGGGATAAGCACGCCATCGCAAAAGGATTTTTTTATTGGAAAAAACTCACATTTAAATCACATGGAGGGAGAAAACCACGAAAAACTCCTACTGTTGCAGGATGGCTAGGGGATTTTAATCATGACCCGTCTACCACTATAGATAGTTAGCGTCAGCACTGTAATCAGTGCAAGCCGGAAGCAGAATTCTTATTAACCAGCCTAAGATGAGATTCGAGCCTGTGTCACCTCATTCGGAAACAAATGATCTCTCCTCTGAACCACCGCAGTTTTTGTGCTCTAAAATTTATTTAATTTCATAAACGTCGCTGAAAAGCCAAATCCAATTATGAATTTACGACTACCAAAGTGCAACTCTATAGTCAATGAAATTTTGAAGCCAACCCAGAAGAAAACTAATAGCTCGATCAATCATTGGGGCAAGCTAGCTTTCATCGAGGGGCGATTTATCTATTTAAACCGCATTTGCATTATATGGAGAAGAAAACCACGAAAACCTTCCTCTCAATGTCAGCCCGATGGCAAAGGCAATGTAATCATTATTCGTCTAACACTGAGGATAGTTTACGTCATAATTAGAATTATTCTTTTGCACGTGCAGGGAGCAGACTTTATATCAACCAGCCACCGTTGAGATTCGAGCCTGTGCCTCCTCATGCAGGAACGAATGCTCTTTCCCCTAACCCACTGTGGCTCATGTGATATCAATTCAATATTTTCGTATTTCAACTGATATTAATATTTGTACGTTCTTATTAAAACGTACATAAACAATTGGCGTGAGCATATATATCGAGAAATATTCATTTATCTGGCGCCTGCTAAACGGGTCCAACCTTATTTTTTTAGAAAATGTTGCAGTTTTAGAGATCGTTCTGAGAAAATATTCACCTTACTTTCGAGATATATCTTTCGCGGAATTTCCTTTTCAAAACTGAAAAAAAAAATAAAATAAAGTGGGTTAAAAAATGAAAACATTGAGAACGCCAGAACCAAATAGCATTCAGAAAGAGTCCTTTAGGAGTTGTTCCTGAAGATTTTTCTTACAAGTAGGAAAGAGAATTATGGCAAGAAGAAGTTACTTTAAATGGGTTACGTAATTCAAACATTTTTTAGGATCTGTAATATGTAATTCAAACATTATTACATGATCTTTCGGGAAATTATTGACCGTATCTTCGAGTTACAATAACACATAAACTTTTTGATGTCCCCAGTGGTTCCAGAGATAGATTTTGTCTATATATATTGAAAAAAAAAATAAAGGAAAAGATTTAAATAAAATTACCTTCATTACCGATTTCTAGATCAAGAGTGATATCTGCAGTCAAGATAGTTATATAATAAACTATTTTCCTACTGTAGTACACTACGAAATTGTTAATAGCTTGTGTCGATTGTCAATGGCAACAGAATACATACTTTAGGGGGCTAAACAAAACAACGGGCAAAATAATTGCAACCTCATTTTATTTTTAAAAAATCAATCACACTTAAAAAATCATTTCTCTAAATTGTCTTGTTTAATTAACTCATGACAAGTTCAATATGGATAAATACACGCTATCCTATGCACTAGTCCCATCCAGACATTTGTTCAATCAGGCTAATTGTTAGTAGCATAAAATATGAAAATCGAAACTATTATTATAAATTGCACAATAATCATATTTATGAATAATTTAATAACTCTTATTTTTGAAAACTTCAAATAAAAGAATCTTTTGAAAAGAATTATAAAAGTTAAGAATTTACGTTTTTATCGTGAAAGACTTTGCTGTAAAATTAATTGTACTATTTAGTTTTTTAGCGTGTTGCAATCACTTTACTGCAACTCTGTATAATTACTTTCTATGCCTGGCACCATCATACATGGCAATACTTTTACTTTTGTTACTTTACTTTTTGTTACTTGTACTTTGTTACTTTTTAAATTTAGTAAATTAACTTGTTTTATCGTTACATTTCATAAAAAAGTAATGATAGTATTTGGAACGAAAATGTCAAAAGAAATCGTTACGTTCCCTTCTAAAATTTCCTAAAAAAATTATTTTTCTTTATATATCTTTATATTATTTTATATTATTATATATTATTATATTATTTTACATTATTTTATATCTTTATAATATTTTCTTTATATATATTTTATTTTCTCTTCAATTTTTACACTTAAAGTATTATATATTCTGGACCCCTTGAATGTGGAATATATTTTTGAAAAACGAGTAAAAATGGAAAGAAACAATGTCTTTAACTTTTTTCGTTATTATCATCAAAATGTTACAAATTGATTGTTTTCATTTGAAAAACAAAACTTTTAACGAAATAATTATTATATTTAATATTTTCACACACAGGGGATGGACAAAATAATGCAAACACTTCTATCCTGAGACATATTTCTCAAACAAAACTTAAGGAATCATTTTATAACTTCATAAGTGAACAGATCAGGCGATTTCTCATACATAAAGACTTTAAAGGACAGACAATAAATTGCAAGCCGAAAATAGAGTTTTTGAACACCCTATGCCAAAAAATGTTATTCTAGGCAAT